AGGCAGGAGCAGACGTGGAGCCAAGGGAGGAGGCAGGAGCAGACGTGGAGCCAAGGGAGGAAGCAGGAGACGATGAGGAGCCATCGGAGGTTGATGGAGCAGGAGCCTTGGCGACGGCGAACACAGGCGACAGAGGGGACGAAGAGGCGAAGGCAGCTGACCCAGGCGACATGGAGGCGACGGCAGCCAACCCAGGCGACATGGAGGCGACGGCAGCCAACCCAGGCGACATGGAGGCGACGGCAGCCGACCCAGGTGACATGGAGGCGACGGCAGCTGACCCAGGCGACGAGGAGGCGACGGCAGCTGACCCAGGCGATGAGGAGGTAATGGCAGCTGACCCAGGCGATGAGAATGCGATGGGCGACGACCCAGGCGATAAGAAGGCGATGGGCGACGACCCAGGCGATGGGCGACGACCCAGGCGATGGGCGACGTGGAGGCAACGTCAACCAACCCAGATGACGTGGAGGAGCCGGCAGCTGACCTACGAACCTCAAGGATCGCCGACTCAGGAACCACCACCGGAACCGCCGACACTGAGACCACCGATTCCAAAAGCACCACCGTAACCGCAGACTCTGGGACCACCGGCTGTGGAGCTGCCGAGACCAGTGACTGCAGATCCACCAAGACCACCAACTCGGGAACTGGGACCATCGACTCAGGGGACGCAGGAACAGACTCAGGAGTGGTCTCATCAGTTGACACAGCAGTGAACCCAGCAGCAGAAACAGCCAGGTCAGGCACAGGAACCCCAGAAAAAAGACAGGGGTGGGATGGTGGGTGAAAAAAAACACAGAGAGCCGCTTCTCTTGGAGGAGAGGTCCCCGAGAGAAGGGCAGCCGTCTCAGCCAGATTTTTCCTGCATTGCAGAAAAATCTCAGACATGTCCATTAGAAGAAAAGTCTTGCCTGCAGGCTGGGTACTAGGTCGGTTCATTATGTGAGGTTTCAGCAGGTACAGACCCAGGGAACAGGCAAAATCAAAGGTGCAACAAAAAGGTTTATTAAGATAACAAAAAGAKGGCTGAAGACAGCAAAAACTTACAGACAAGTGCTTCTCAGGAGGAATAGACAGAACACCACACAGGCTCAGGGGAAACAGCACAATGAACCGACA